TGTTGTTGTTCCTTGCTGACACCAGGAGGAGATGCCTTCCTCTGCTGGTGGCTGTCGCAGCTGTACTAGTAGTCATGCTTGTTTGCTTGCTTCTTGTTGATTGCTGTTGCTCTAGTAATGTTGTGAGCGGTTTCAGCATGACTGTTTTTCCCATACTTGAGACAGGACTACTAGTAGGTCGTAGTCATTTTCAACATATTTTTAAAGTGGAAAATAAGCTATCAATGTACCGTAGGGGCGAATACGGTATGGATTGAAGAAAGCACTACTACAGAATAGGTAGAATGGGTGATTCCCGTTATTATAGAATCGTAAATGTGCTAAATCTATGAGTTTGGCACTTCTGTAATAACGGGAATAAAAAAATCAACGGACAGACTGAGAGCAAGCCAGCCCTCATTTCAGTCTTTTTGGGAATCTGGAATCTTAACTATTCCTCCAACGTAAAGACTAAAAAGACTCAAAATGCGCGCCATTTGGTACTAAGTAAAACATGAAATTTTTGATACTCAACAACTAGCGTAAACCATCAACTCATTTTCTGCTTATTTTCAGTAGAAAATGAGTGGATTGATTTACGGTAGTAACTAGAGTAATACACGAACTCATTTTCTGCTTGTTAGTATCAGAAAATGTGTTCATGAATTACGCTATCAACCAGCCGACAAACACACTAAAAGACAACAGTTTCATCCCAGCAAGATACGACGCCACGATATGGGATTAGTGGAAGTGATCACCATGTACTGGTACCTCCAGTTGCACTCGGAGGAAGAGCAACGGAGCTACAAAAGCAAACTGTCTCCAGAGGAGCGCCGAAGGAGGGACTGGAGAACCCCTAGGATTGCAATCAGCAGGTACGCCACTCCCCCTTTCCTGTACATGTTCCACTCAGGGGATGACCAAGCTCTCTTAAACTGCTGTGGTGTTGACCACAAGGTCTTCAGGGAGCTTGTTGACCTCTTTGCTCCAGTATGGAACAAGTACACAGTGAACAAGAACAATGAGATCATGGAGGTTCCTTGTTACCCCAGTGGGAAGCCAAAAGGGAAGAAAAGGGAGGTCGATGCAGTCTGTGCAATAGGGCTGGTCCTTTACTGGTACAGGACAAGAGGATCTGTTGCAAGGTCAATGGCAATGGCCTTTGGCTTAACATCCACAGTGATGTATAAGTGGCTCAAGTTTTCAAGAAGAGTGATGCCTGTTGCTCTTCACAAGCATCCCGAGGCCATGGTGAATGTCCCAACAGAGGAAGAAGTTGATGCTTATGTTAATGCAATTGGAGACAAGTATCCAAGGCTTGGTGAACAACGCGTCTGGGGTGCTGCTGATGGGCTCAAGAGCGTCCTAGCCCAGTCAGAGGACTGGTACAAACAAAAGGCGTATTACAATGCTTGGAAGGAAAACACCTTCCTTAACAGTGTATTTGCCTTTGCCCCCGATGGAAGAATCTGGATCGCAGTGTACAACTGCCCCGGGCCTGGCATGATAGTGCAGTTGCTGACTATGGCGTGTATGAAAGAATTGAGAAGATCAACAGAACCTGTAGGGGCGCCAAGGTTGTTGTAAACTCAGCCTTTGCACTGAAGAAATACCAGGATAGCCTAATCAAAAGCTCATAGAAAGACCCTTGCAACAGTCGCCTCCTATTGTTGAACAGGGATGCCACGTCCTTGAGACAGATGTCGGAATGGGGAATGAGGATGATCCAGGGACAGTTCCCAAGGATTAAAGACAAAATGTTCCTTGAAGAGCTTGGAGACAGGAGGATCATCATGAACCTCCTCATCAACTTGTACAACTAACAGTGTAGTTACATAGGGCACAACCAAATCCTATCGACCTTCATGAAGACACCAGCAGCCACGACTGCCGACATTCCGTATGAGAAGGTTGCTCTTGCTGATGGCTACTTCAAAGTAGGTAGACAGATCTCCCTGGATGGCAATGGAGTATTTCTTCTTTAAGGAAATCCCATGGTGAAGAAGACATTGTTGTTAGTTTGAAATAAGAGAGATTAGTGAGTTTTGCGAGTTACAACAACGATTACGACAACGATCAATAAAGCACGGATCGATACAACACAAATTGTTTTGAAAAGAACATGGTTAAGGTGGTGTAATCGATACAGCTTAACAGTGTCCTTTTCAAAACAAATCCTGTTTTTGATAACTTGCCATGGTCCCCTCCCTTATCATTTGAATTACTAGAAATAATGAATTAGCGTTGTCTTACTGTAATTTGGTGTACTTGCTGCTATTTGCTGCTATTTACTGCATTCGCAACAGCTTGCTGTATTTGCTTGTTTCGGTATTCTTTCTAGTACCGGCTTCTACGGAATTACAGTAGAACCCAGGTTTTCATGTATCGAAAACAGGATTACAAAGAGGGTTCGCATTATCCAACGGATGTCATTGATCGGCATCCACATACATTCTAATCACCTCAGTCCTCATAACCGAATGTTGATTTAAAACGCATTGCTGTGTCTTAGTTCAATCAATATTCTTCATTGCAGTATATAAATCTAATCTAATCACGGCTAAGTTACAAAAAGTATACATAAAAACTGCAAATGTTTAGGAACTGGTGGAAATAGTACCGGTTGTACAGTCGACGGAGTACAAAACAACAGGGAACTGTGGGGACTGCTTCAGCTACTGCTTTGCTCATTGTATTCATTCTTTAGTATAGTATCGTGTAAGCACGACGTTAGTTTAGTTTAGTTCAATCAATGGTTAATGAATTGCTGTTTGCTTCTCCTCACCATGGGATTCGTGGGTTTCCTGTTCTTCTTCACGTCGTTGTCTTTTGCGTGGAGGCATGGGCTGGGGCGTGGAAACACCATATACATCAGCTGTCGATGAAGGAGCTGTCGATGCAACAGAAGCAGGTGGAGGACCATAGTGGTACTAATGGTAGGGAGGAGGAGGACCATGGTAAGATTGTTGTTGTTGCTGCCAAGTAGTCATCATGCTAACGGCAGCTCCAAGAAATTTCTCTGCTACATCCTTCACGCCACTCCACATCTCAATACTGCGTTCATCTCTTCTTTGCTCTCTTTTGTCATGGTTCTCGATGAATTGGGTGAATGCTGCTGCATCAGGGACCCTTGAATTCTTCTGCTGGTAGGCTCTCCTCTTGGCAGTAGGGGTGTTTGATGGTCTTACAACAACTGAAGGCGTCAACACAGAAGATCCGGCTAGAGCAGGTGTCTCGCTCCTGTTGCCGGGTGTCTCCGCGACAACATCCACTTGATCACCTTCCTCTCCAGGAAGAACCACCAATGGGTCTTGTTCCTCCACTTCAGCAAGAAGACTGTCGGGGACACCAGTTTTGGTTGGTAAACCCTCCACAGCCTCACTTTTAACATGGCCTTCGGTCAGATCAAAGTCCTCCTCCCCAGTACCAAGATTTGCCCTCCGACCAATCAAGATATGGGCTTCGCGTGCCTTCCTTACATACTCTGGCATGTTTGGGTTCCCTGTGGAACTCTTGATCCTCTTTATTGCTGCATACTTGGTCTTGATGGATGATCTGGTTCTGAAGAAGGGCCACACCTTTGCATGGTCAGCTACTATKGTATCCCACTCGTCGTTACAAATGGGAATCCTCTCAAGTATCATACCAATGAGACTGTCCAGCTCATCGTGAGTGTAGTTTGCTACTCCTGCCTTGCGGCCACTGCTACTGCCAGCCATCTTTGATACAAATATAGTGTGGGGGATGGGAGGACCACAACAATGGGCCGGCTCCTCTCGTTGCTCCTCCTCCTCCTCCTCTTGCTCTCTTTGCTGCAACAAAGAAAGAAAATAGATTGCACTGACTAACAGCACCGACCGAGACATACTTTATGTCCCTTAATGCTGTCCCTTGGCACCATTCTTAACAATAATATAGGCGCCTCCAGTGTCTTTGTTAGCCATGGTCGTGGTGCATGCTCGTTCAATTTTGTCGACTTCTGTCTTAAGATATTCTGGCGGGCTTTCTGTTGAGTCTTTCAGAGATTCTCAACGGACTCGAAATTTTGAATCGTGAGTTCCATCATAAATTTTATTACATTTGATGCGTGTCAAATGAGGTCTTCAAACCTAATAAATTTTTGTAATAAATGTGCTACTTTTGATAGACGGACAGACCAAAAAGTAGCACATCTATTAACGGGAATCACCCAATTTTTAGTACACATGTATGAAGTGGTTTTAATGTACATACTACTTTTCGTGTACAATTCCTACCACAGGGCTCCTAGAATCTTTTYAAGAAACGGGTTGCAAAATATGGGCACGTACTTGTGCCGTAGTGTACCCCTCTGTAAGTACCGATTGACACTGTTACTTGCGTACGCGCGGAATATTTTTAGTCTCTTTTTCTCTGAAATAATGCGAACCGCATATTCTTTCGCGAAGGATACATATTTGGTACCCTTCAATAAAAATGCGTCACTCCTATTCAGCTCGGTACAAAATGATTGGGTGATGCTGATGCAGTACCGTACGGTAGTAGCCGCTCATTCCTCTTGAAAAGAGAAGGCATTAGTACACGTGACACATGATACGTAGTTCTCATCATTATTCATAGTAAATTATAATTAGCAGAAGAATGTATGAAAAAGCGTGCCATGAGATTTCGTCACAAGATTACTAAACTTATCATCTTATGTGACTAATAAGTATTTTTGTCCATCGACCAAAGATTCACGCRYGCCTGCCGWTCATGTTTTCCGTTGATGGGTGCGAATGACGCCAGCGTGAACCCTTGTAGTCGGGAGAAATTGTTCTGGAGTGAAATGCTTAGAATCTAGATAGTACAAAATAATTGCCCGGATGTACCCCGCGCCTGAAGGCGCCAAAAATACATTCTGCTAGAGAGAATCTTTTCCATTGGAATGCTCCGCACCCCTAATTCTGCAGGAATGATACAATCAGAACTCGTTTTTGACGGCTCCACGCGCCCGAATACTGAAACCGTGTGTCGAACGATCGAATGGATATAGGATCAGACGAGACAAAATCGTCCATGAACTTTCTGTTCGTCCACGTAGCACCGGTACGTACTGGTAAGGTACTCTACTTTTGTTGTGCGTCCCTTCGGAACTGATTTGAACCAAGTCACGCGATCTTCACGTAGCCATGTACGAATATCTTCCCTCCGGCTCAATCCTCGGCACTACGAAGAACCCGATATCCAGTCGTTTGCTTGCCCTGACGAGCAAGACACTCCTGATTCGTAACTCTTTCGCTTCTCCCATAAAGTATTCATCAAGACATAATATCTAGAAAGGTAAGATAACGATCGAGAGCATCTTCGGTGCCTCAGATGCTAATAGTCTGCTGGAACGATCTACCGATACTACACTGAACCAGGGAATACAGGCTGGGAAACATGTTTGGATTTATACCCAATTTAACCTCCACTTTTGACAAGAGGAAGATCCATGGCTCAGGCCTCATTCCAATGCATCTTGCAAACGCAAGTAATACTATGCCATTCAAAATAGACACGTTTCCGAAGGTCACATCTTCCTGGAGGCAGTAGATGGTTTTATCATCCCGATTCAGTATAGTCTCGGCAATCTGTACCACTTCGCCGAACCCCCTTCAATTCAGCATCCAATCTTCCGCAGCTATTCATCGAATATAGCTGCCTGTACACAAATTCAAAACCACTGTTCTTTATCTCACAAAATCTCTTTGTTTTCCCTGCGCCCCGAAGGAAATACATCAACCAAACCATGAAATATCTCTCTGCCGCCCTCGTGGCCCTCTCGGCATCCACTGCCCAGGCTCGTCTGCCCCCTGGTTTTACCCCCGTTAGTCTCCCAACTCCACCAACGGCACCTGCTCCGGTTGCTGCACCGGTCCCCGTTGCGCCTACCGACGCTCCAACCAAGGGAGCCGTCTGCGATCCYGTATTGGATCCTGACTATGAGTCGGACTCATACGTYGTARTCCAATACGATCCYTCCAAGGGAGATTGCTACAATCTTKSAAGCAACGCAACTCTCACTGCGATYGGCGATGCCTACTACAGRGCATACGCTCAAGTCGATGGTGCCTGTACACAGAACGGTGCCTTCTGCGAGSTTTACGGTGCCGAGGTGAAAGCAACACAACCCAGCAGCAACACCATTCTGTTGCGTGTTGGAACCTACTGTAACGCTGGAACTTATCTCAACGGAGACAAAAYGTCTTGTGGTGTTGRAATGTACACCGGAKCAGACGCCACCCCTCTCGTTGACTTCRCACGCAAGATGCAATCAGCGATTTCCACCGGAGAGRMRTGTAGYTGCCCTCGACCTGACGCTGCCACCGTYGTTGCTACCATGAATGAAGCCATCCGCCAATCTATCCCCTGCCCYGCGTTGCCCGCTGTCGCCGGAGTACCAACGCCCGCCCCCACTGCCCTCGAGTTCATTACTGCCACCGAACAGCTGTGCGTCACCGAGTGCCACAACACTACCAAGGGGGAGTTTACGTACTCCTCTGCCGGAGTTTCGGAGCCCTGCGACCGTCCTAAACTCACCCGCAAGCCATCGAAGCGTCCGACTAAGTATCCTACACGACGTCCCACGAAGCGCCCTACCAAGTACCCTACCAAACGTCCCACGAAGCGTCCCACCAAGTTCCCTACGAAGTCGCCAACCGCTGAACCAACCGCCGAAAATGACCCAACCGCCGCTCCCTCCGAGGAACCTGCCCCCACCGATGAACCAGCCCCTACGGACGAACCTGTGGAACCCACCGCCGAACCCGTTGATCCTACCGCTGCACCCGTCGAACCCACCGCTGCWCCCGTTGCCCCAACCCCAGAACCCACGCCGGAGTCCACCAACAGTACCGGGCGATTCCTGGCCAGTGCCGGCGACGAAAACTTTGTAGAGGWGACCTCTCAAGTTGTCAAGATCGACACCTTTGCCTTCGCTTACGAGAAGGCCGAAGACCACAACGTCTGCAGTGGGGTTGATGCTAAGTTGGTGAACAACGCTGCCAACCGTGCCATGTGCGAAAACTACCTCAACCTTCCTCTMGTCCGTCAGGACGAATCTGAGTGCTCCTCCGAGAACGCCATCCCTAAGATCTGGTATTCCGTTTCTGCTCACAACGAGGCAACCCTCAGTCAGGTCGGTGTAGCCGCCTCCAACCCCGACTTCGAACACCGTCACTTTGGAGACGAAGAAGCCCTTGCTTTTGTCAAGGAAAACTGCGGTGAACACGTTGCCTCTGCCTACGAGTGCCTTGCCCCGCCTGCTTTCCGCGGAGATTTGTTCCGATTTTGTGCCCTCCACACYACGGGTGGTGTGTACATGGACGCCGACATGCTTCCGCTCGTTCCCATTGATGATCTCTATGATCCTTGCGCCGTTGCYACTGTTGGACATGACTGGCCCCAAGGTCGCCCCCAGAAGCAGATGAAGATCCTTGCCGGMCGCGCTGGAGCTCCTATCTTTAAGTGCATGCTTGACAAGATCGTTGGAAACGTCAAGTCCCGATACTACCCAACCAACCCCCTTGCTCTCACCGGACCTATGCTCCTCCACGAGTGTTACGAGGATCACTCTGAAGGAGTAAGTGTCACCTACCGCGACACCCGTAATGCCGCCTACCCTTACTCCGGTATGCGCGCGGGAGAYGACCTTCTCGCCTTCGAGATCCCTGCCCACAACAAGAACTACAAGATCGACTTTGACGATCACGAGGTGTACCGTGACACCTGCTCTTTCGCCGATGAYGCTGCCGTTGGCGCCACCGCCGSCTCCATGTAATCACACCAGTGATAGTGTTTCGAATCCGAATCTGTGAATCGAAAAGAAATCGAACGACCCATATTACTATATCTGTGAAATAAATACACCGATAGTCATCAACTGTGAACCGGGCAAAACATTCGTTATGGTTTTGGCTCGGGTCGTTGGCTTTTGCGTCCTAGTTTACCATAAAATTAAGAATTTAACGTTACTTCTTGTCAAAATACCATAAATTCTTCCCCTTGTGACAACCWAGTTTCTTTGTAGTCCTGCTTGTCTCCAACCGACGAATAAGGTTGTCCTGCATTGAAGACTCCTACTACCATGATACTAGTGGGGACGTGCAGATGATATGATAGAAATTCTAAACCATAAAACCAAAACCATGTCAATCCAGAGACAGTGTTGCCAAWGTATCAGAAATTATGGAACTCTTAATATCATAGCTATAATTACCACAGTGATTTATGAATGCCTCAGTCAGACCAAAGATTTGGAGGAAGGTTTTGGAGAGAGCTTCACTATGTTCAAGAAGGCAGGCCAACAACAAGACAATCATTTTCCCAAGTAAAATATGTCRAGCGCGCCAACTGATATCATGAAATCTTGTCCAACTRCACCATTTTTTCTATGGAATTTTGTCTTGATGCTAATCAACAGGTTGGAAATACATTCTTGATGAACATATTTACCCTAAYCWCTACCTCCTGCTATCCAAAACTGCACCAATACTGCTTCATAATGTTGGTAGCAACAAGGCAAAACTTTGTTGATTGTCAGACACAGAGGAGTCMTCACCACCACCTGCTGAAGCTGCCATTATCCCATTGTTGGAAGCACATCTCCTTCTGACAACCAACAGCTAATCACCCCATCCCRTTGACACCAATCAGCAACACTCCCTGCCTAATACTAATCAGCAGCACTAATCAGCAACAGTTTCCTCCCAGCAACACTCCTATCCACAACAGTATCAGCAGCAACACTAATCAGCAAGCTACTACTGACGTCAACAGCTATCAATCATGACAACAACAAAGTGGCAACATCAGTAACAACTGTCTGGCTGTGGGCCTTTGTGGAGTCCCAGTCTGTAGCATTTGAAGGAGCCTTTGAGTTAGAATCAGAATTGGGAACATTGTTTGAGGATGAAAGCTCAATTGATGRGGAGGTTGAAAACAAGACTGAGCATGAGTGTGATTATGATTATGAGTCACCACAAGGAGGCTGAGCAAGCTGAGACATTCAATGTAATTACACAGAGCCAGGCAGCTTGGAACTGGGATACTAATGTGGTTGAGCCTCATGATACTGAGTTCTTTTATTGGAAGAATGGAACTATTGTTGATAGCAGACTTAATTTTCCCAWTGTTCTAGTAAGCTATGAAAGGAAGGATCCAAATGTTGACAAAGGAGAACCAGAAGACTGGAATGACACTGATAACCCAGGTGGATGGCATCCGTATTACTAAAGACCCAAGTTTGAAGCAGGAACAGGGAACAAAGAGAAGGGACACTTTCTTCCCTCCAAGTGTAAGCCTGTAGAAATTCCTAAACACTTAACTGGTCTTGACAAGGAACCCATGGGGATCTAAATGAATGGAAGTTTCATTATCTTGGATGGGATGGCACAGTCAAAGATCCTAACAATAAGTTTGCATGTTGTTGATGGTATCTCCACATAGTGTGGGCAAARATTCCTCTGCGAGTGCCTTCTCCACTTGTGCAAAAGAATCTGCAACATCCAGGACAACATGTTGGACATATGTCCATTTGGACTGCAAAGACTTGGTCAACCCTGMAAAAGCAGCCTTTGGGTATTGGCGGAGTCAAATGCTTTCAACCCAYTTGTCAATCTGTGGCTGGAGCCAATCTTCCTTGGCTGCATTGGTGCCAAGGAGACCCCCAMGGTAACGGTGTCCATCTTGGAAGTCAAAATTGAATTTCTGTAGGATAGTGCTGGTGCTGAAGTGGTTGTTTTGAGGCCCAACAAAAATATTTTTTGTTCGCTCTGGTAGTGCATCATCTGCAACGCCACCAGTAAGGTGAGTGTCAGGTTGTGGTGAACATGATCTCCATAGATCTTATCCAATTTGGAATCTGCCGCAGTGAGTACGTAGTCAGGGAGATCCCCACCCTCATCCAGAACCAGTAGATCCGGCCAAATTGTGGTGGTGTGAGTAGGTGGGGGAGAATCTGGAGGCTGTGATATTTCAGCATGGCATGGAGGAAGAGCTGCCCTTGCTGTTCTCTCCTGTTTTCAGCCTCTGGATGATAAGGGGCCTCATTCCTTCTCTTCTGTTGCTATTGTTGTCCATGTCTCTTAGCCCGCCCAAGCCCTCAAATTCAAATGTCTCTGCAGAGGTGCGGATCAAGCCTCAGAATGAGGCACCAGGCAAGGCAGAGCAGCATTGTTGGTTGCCTCATGCAAAGAAGCCTTTACAGAAGCGTCATGTGATGCATACAAAGAAGCCTCCGCACAATCCTCCAAATGAGGCACTGGAAGAGCAGTTGAGCTCAAGTTGTACTTACTGGGACAAGTTCCACTATGATATGACATACTACAGGAAGGCAATGCAATGACTGCATCAATGTTCTAAGTAGCCTTAAACACAGCAGAAGGGTACCAATAGTGATAGTAATTGCAGCAGGCTCATCCTCAGTACTGGTGCTTCAGTGCTGTTGCAGCAGTAGATCAGTAGCAAGAACTAGGGGCAAGCACCTCTGAAGAACAGAAACAACAATGAAAGTTACTAGTACTACATTGTTCTAAGGAGGCATGCAGCTGGCCCAATAAGATCATCTCAACAGCAGTACTTGTGCTTCAGTACTGTTGCAGCAGTAGATCAGTAGCAAGAACTGGGGGCAAGTACAACCTCTGAAGAACAGAAACAACAATGAAAGTTAGTAGTACATTCTAAGGAGACATGTGGCTGGCCTAATGTGATGATCTCAACAACAGTACTGCTGCTGCTTCAGTACTATTGCAGCAGCAGGCAAGCACCTCTGAAGAATAGAAACAGCTACTGAGTTGCACTAAAGAAAGTAGTACACCAGTAATTCATACAAAAGTAGTATATCCCCCTTCTGATTTGTAAGATGAGAGATTACCCCTCCTGATTCAGTCAAACATACTGATTTGTACTGTGAATCATCATAGTACAAAAAAGGAACCCCCCCCAAAAATCATTAAGTCATGTGGTAGAACATATGGGAAGTTTTAATTTTCAAAACTAATTTTTTCATACACACAAAACTATTCCTACCTACKGTACATACATACCTGACCTGCACCTTCTGGTGTCCAAACCCACCATGGTGACATCCTTTCTGAAGGGGAAATCCCACCTACCTGGCCTCCATTCAATCAATCTAACCAAGACTAAACTCCTTAAATTGATATCATACACCCCCTGTCCCCAGCAAGTGGCAGTATGCCCCAGCTGGTGGATCCATCCCCAGTTCTTAAGGACCAGAAGAAGATTCTKGTCATGATGTAGTTGTTTCTGACATTTGTGTTGGACAGCAACAACAATAACCCCAGCCCCCAGTATTCAACCAAGATCTATCCTGTGGAGACCAACACCTGGAGTATATGCTACATCATACTTAGTTTAAATGTAGATTCACCAKCATCTCCAGTTCCATCAGTATTATTTATGGACCAGAAKCCCCCRTGTGTTTCTGGTCACAATGTTGTTGCTTCCAACATTYGTGCCAGAAAGCAACCACAACAACCCCAGGCCCCAGTATTCCACCAAGACCTATCCWTTGACAAACAAYGTCTGAAGTATATGCAGCATCTCCATGCAGTTCCAATATTATTTACAGACCAGAAGCCCCAGTGTTTTCCAGTCATAATGTTGTTGTTTCTGACATTCATRCCATCAAGCACCAACAACACCCCCAATATTCACYTAAGACCTATCCTTTGAAGAACACCACCAGGMGTATGCTACATACTMAGTTTTAAAGAAATTTCCCCAGCATCTCCATGCAGTTCCAGTATTATTTATGGACCAGAAGAAGAAACTTCCACCAGTCACAATGCTGTTGTTTCTGCCATTTGTGTTTGACAAMAACAGCAACACCCCAMGCCCTATCAAAGCAATTYCACCAAGCTGATGCTGCTATGATCACCCGCACCCTCCCACTACCCCAGTTCTTTGGACCAGAACCAGTTTCTGGTCAGGATGTTGTTGTTTCCATCACTCATGTTGGATAGCATCAACAACACCCCCATCCCCCCATATCTACTAGTAGATCTGATTGATCTATCCCTAGTTCTTTTCTTCAAGAATATTAAGATTTTTTTGAACATGTGGGAAGTTGTATGTTTGCTATCTTTGCTTGGAGAGTTGTGTGAAAATTGAATAGTCACATTCAGCATACTAATATGTACAATGTGTCTCCACCATGCCAAAAACTTCTTCAGCTTCCAACATATGGATGTCAGCTTTCACTGGAGGCTTCATATTATTCAGTTTAATGCTTTTGTGTTTGCAACAAAGGAGGAGGGTGCCAATCTGTGCTTGCGTCAAAGAGGGTGCTGCTGCTTATTGGTTGTTGGCTGCTGGTGATTGCTGCTTCTTGCAACAAAGAGGGTTCTAATTTTGCCTGTCACAAATAGGGTGCAAATTATATGCAACCTGCAAATTATGTGCTTGTGACAAAGAGGGCGCAAATTTTCCTCATTTGGGCTTATGCTTTGTACAACAAACAAATTGAATTTTTTAAATTATTTCTTTAGGAAAGAATCAACAGAAAATTCTGTATGGTTATTGGGGGTCAGCAATGCAACAATATTTTGCACAAAATAATTTGTATTGATGAATTAGCATGGTGTTTAGAGTGAATTATAATGAATCAGTTTATGTATACTAGGTCTAGATCTCCACTTACATGGTTTCCTGTGTTATAGTCGATCAGGAACTAGTTTCTGTAGTTTCAATCCCCTGTAGGACTTGGTACACATTCTACTGAGGGCTTCAGGACAGAACTTATTGTCAATGTTCTGCTTCTGATTCTGTTACAAGGCGATGCCACTGATGTATGGGAATTCTCAATGATTTCATATGTAACATGTAGTGTATGTTATATATATTATATAGGGTGTAGTAGGTCCATTTTCCTTAGGACTCACAATTGATTCTATTGTCCTTGTAGTTCTGGTCCCATACCATAAGTCCAGTCCCATGGGTTCATGA